AAAAAAAAAAGAATTTTCCCCACACAAAAAAATAAATGAATTAAAGTTTTTCGAATGTATATATGTTTTGTAAACCAGCGATGTTGTTTGTTTCTCCAGTCCTGAATCCTATTAATTCTAGACTACCAACTATTTCTTCAATATTCATTACTATGTCTACTATTTAAAGGTGTGGTTCTCCAAATATGGTACAGGAATCCTGAGATTCTTTGGCTATTGATAACTTCATAACTATTTTCATTAGAGTGCCAAGATGTTATCAGCCTTCTTCACTCATCCTCTCATGAGCATCCATACAGTGGTCTCTAGAGGTCTTACAACTTGCATATTCCAACAGCTGGAAATCCAGAAAAGCAGACATGAGAATACAGTTGTCTTCTATTATCAAGGAGATTTGGAAAGAATTTTAAATACCACCGCTACCATTACGTTTTTAAAAGTTGTTTTCATTAAATGTTATTTTTATTATCATTTATAAGGGCAAGCTAGAAACTATTTCTACAAAACCAAAGAAGCCTTTATTAAATGAAACTATCAGTGTGAAGCTATGATTTTCTGCCATACCTTTCATCTAGGCCTGTGCACTTCTAAAGGCAGTGTTTCCATTTCTCCAACCCTTCCCTGAAGGATTCTGCACTCTGCAATTTACACATCGAAATATTAGTTTTGGCACCCTTGAAGGATTTAAATGGTGTTCATTTTAAATGTTGACTTGGGGGAACAAAATAAGTCCAAAAGGGCAGGATCAGGGCTGTACGCTGGATGGGGTTAAGGTTTGCCGGTGGCATTCTCTTAGGGCAACCCTTTGCAGAATGAACAGGGACATTGCCATGATGAAGAAAATTCCTCAGCGCAAACTTCCTGGCTTTTTTCGCATCAGTGCAGTTTCCAATTAAAAAAAAGCTTTTGCAGAATAAGCTCCCTCCAAGAAAACCTCAAAATTTCCACTTCGGAATTCCTAATCGTGGTCATTACCTTCTGATCTGGCCTCTGCTGTGAATTTAACTGGCCCAAGCAGATCCCCTCAGAAGCCATTGTTCTGCTTGGATTTCTGAAGGGCCCTCATAAGACCAGAGCAGGTGTATGTATATTACTGGGAGAACTTGTCAGCATTCCCACTACTGACCCAGAGAATGTTTAAACACACTTTGTGGAATAAACTCATACACGTATGAACTGGAATCCTAGGGTGATACTTTTTAATTTATCCTAATTTTTGTTGTTCTTTAAAAGTGAGTCATTCAAAGCGGGTGAATAAGCAAATGT